CCGAATTGGTTATTTACAAAAATGAATCTGTCGACAGGTTTGGAATTTTATCTTTGAAACGCCACACTTTTCTTTGAAATCGCTTTATTAGTTCTCGTGCAATAAGCGTTTTTGTGAAGCTCTAAAAATTACAACTACAACATTTGAACATAGCCCCCATACCTTAAGGTAAGACGTATTCTACGTAAAAAAAAAAACGTTTTTTTGCTAATAGTGGGGACGCCCCTCTCAGGTAATTGCAAACCTCCGAGTCTCATTCTCATAACAATACAATCGCCGTTCGCAGTCGGCGTCCTTTGTGTGACAACATTAAGGCGCACGCCCCAAATCGAGGAGAAGTTCGACCAAGCACTAACATATTGTCTAAGCGCCAATCTATTATACATTTTCTTATTATTATACATATCGCACACCTACATCTAAAGTGAGCTAACTCAAAATTAAGAGAGGCAACTTTAACTGCTTGTGGATCGTCGTATAGATTCAACGCAATTAATGCAAAAAAAAGATAACAGTAGTATTTTAGTTAATGTATATAATCATAAAAAAAATATATTACCATTAATTGAGTGCAAGTCCTATGAGTTGATTTATGCACAAAGAAGGCCACAATTTTTTTTTTGCAGTTGATCGCACTTTAGATCTAGGTGTACGACATGTACACGTGATCAAAAAGTGCCAAAGCCCGAAAATTTGAAAAGCCGCTATATCAGGCCTACATCCTTGAGTAATTCATTTGCATTCGGACTCGACCGAAACATCATTTTACGTTTTTCCTTTTTCGTGGTTTGAGACTCCCTCTCAGAAAAAATGTTATCGGAAAGAATTATTTAGTATTTTTTTTTGAATATGGTTTGGTCAAAATAAATTTAAGAAATTGGATCGTAATTTTTAAAATTAAAAATCACCGTCATTTCATTACCTTTCCAAGCTGCCTCAGTTTTGTAATTGAAGCCAGAACGGATTGGATTGATGGCATCAACTTGATGCCCACAGTAAAGTTCAAGGAACCCAAAGACAAGCATTCGCCTCTAAGTGTGAAAAACATCTTTATCCAGATTTTTGCGTAACTAGCTGTTAGTATGAGCTGTCTTATCAAAAAATACGAACGCTCCAAGCCGTAAATATTTATAAGCATTTGGCCAATTGGTGAGCTGTTTAATTCGTAAAAAGTTGTAGATGTTGTTCAATTTTGCATCATTCAACTACTTATCGAAGTTCGACGTTGCTGTAAATATTGAGTTTCTTGTTTTTGCATTTGATAATGTCATACACACTCACATAACAAATTACTTAATGTTTGCAAATTGTAATTGGGGGAATGCGGCTACGAATATTATTAGCAGCACGCAGCCTAGCAAGCAAGCGTCAATTGGCAGACAACAACCATAAAACTTTACATTTGTTAAACATTTTAATGAGCAACATCTTCCTTAAATATTAAATATATGAATGTATGTACATATGTTTGCGAACGCAGTGGAAAATAAAATTCAACGAATGATTACTGAAAATGCAATAATTTTACTTCTTAACTTAGATGATTGCTGAAGTTTGTTTATACAGTTGGTGCTGTATGTATTCGTATTTTAGTATAACTTGGTTTTGAGATTGAAAGCGAAAGCAATGGCAAAGTTAAAAGATTATTTAATAACCAATCAAATACAATTTGACCTAAGCGTTAATATGTTACATGAATAAGTATGTCTGTATGTATACGCACGACGAACGGCAGAATAAATAAATAAAAAAAAACACGAAAAGACCGCGCACGCGCAAATGCGAGCAGAAGCTCAATTTTATATACATATGTACACCTGTGCAAAGCTAAAATAAACACAAATAAACATTTGGAATACAAATCATAGTAGAAATAGTGCAAATGCTTGACCCTACGACGAGTATACATATGTGAGAGAGAGAAGGCAGTAAAATGGATTTTGCATTGGGTCTAATTACAGGCGCCTATGCCGTCTTTGCGTTAATTGTATTTTACATTGTCTACATTATTGAGGTGAAACTAGGTAAAGTAATACCGTCATACATTTAAGTACTTATGTATATTGTAAACACAAAAATTAAATCAACAATATATATATATGGCCTTTTTAAGGGCCAAAAAATCCCGGAATTCTTGGCAAATAATCCCGGGTTTATCGGGATTTGTAATTTGCACTGATGGCAATAATAGAAAATCCTTTTCTTGACCAGTATTGGCTATATTTCTTATTTTATTTAATTATTAATATTTTTCATAAATGTCTAACTCATTATAAATAGTATATATTTAGTAAAATTGCGTTTTTAATTTTTCACTCTGACGTCAGTAACTCAAAAATTAGTTAAAAAATTCAGAGAAATGTGCTTAGACAAGAAGTATGGGTATCAAATTAAAGAGCAAATCCTATAGAATTTAAACAGATTGAAGTTTTTGGTGCAGAAGAACTGGTAAGTATTGAAAATCTTCTCTTAAAATTTTATCCTTGAAATTTCGCAATATTTGTTCCTGAAAAAATTATATGTTAAGGACTCGATAACATTCTCGAATTTCGTGCTTCTAACTTTATCAGATTAAAAAATTACCTATTCATCCTTGTGAATTATTATTATTTTTTTTTATTCTAAAGAAATTTCCTCTTGCATTTGGTACCCATATTTTTATTCTATATTGCATTAAAATTTTTAAATAATTTATCATATCTTTGAAATTACATAGCCCTTTAAAATAAATTCTGACGTCAGATAGAGAAAAAATGAAAACGCCATTTTAAACAAAAAAGTGGGATTCAAACCCATTTACTTATTATTTATTGTATGGTAGGAGAGCTTCTCAAACAATATAGAAGCAATTTTTTCGATTAAAGTTGTTGAAAAGTAATGAATATCTAAATCCCGGGATTCCGGGAGTGTGATATTGACATCCCGAAAATTCCGGGATCACAAAAAGCTGAAAAATTAACATCCCTAATATACATATGAATGTATGCATATGCATGGGTACTCATTGTCTTGCATAGCACAGCTGTAAAAGTTGCTCATACGCCGTGTGTTAGACGCTTTACGATTGCTTGCATGACCGTATGAAACGTATTTGTACATATCTATTGTATTGTATACAAATATTTTTTTTTTTAGTTTTTGCTAATACGTAAAGCATGCTCTCTGTGTATTCTCTTATTGAATTGAAACTTTTACATTGAAATATAACCTAGTTAAAATTAATAATAACGTATGTCCTTAAATTTCAGACCTTCCTAGCATCATAAATAGTAATGCAACTCCTCAATCTGCGGCGATTTTAAATAACAGCGAAAGTAACCATAATCCCAATAATGTCAGTATGCCATCCGAATTTTCGGAAATTTCACAAATGCGCCTGCGTCAAATGATTGAATCAATCATTGCTGAAACGTTGCGTATGCCACCGCTTAATAATGGTAGCGTATCAGAGGTAGCCCTCAACATGGATACGCGTTCGAATGGTGTAACGAAATCCTTGCCATTGGGTAATGGAAATGCACACTTTCCTCATCAACATCGAACTGAGCATTACTTCGAGCCAAAGATTTATCAGGATTTGCTAGCAACAGCTGTGTTAAATAAGGTGAGTGATTCTCATAATTGGAAAGTAGCGGTATACATGTGTATGTATGTATCAGTGTTGCCTCGAATCATTTTTAGTGGTAGCCAAATTCCTGTTAAAAAAAAGGCTAAAAAGATCTAAAAGAAATTCTTTGTGGCTAAAAATGGTAGCTAAACTTTTTTACCTACATACACTCAAAAAAAATGTGTCTTAATTTAAGAAAAACAGCAATCAAAATGAAGAAAAATGGGAACGAAATAGCACTAAAGAACTTTTATCCTCTTTTCATGCCCAAAATTTCTTCAAACTGATAGATTACATCCACGGTTCCATATTTTCGTTTACGTTTTTACACATTCCAAAGAAAAATTACTCGTTCGGGAGAATTTTTTACTCATTCGGAAGAATTTTCGACCTTAAAGTAAGGAAAGGTTTTCTTTGATCCAGAGATGAACTTTTGGTTCAGTGTATACTACATATATGAGTATCCATGCAAACCTTTTTTAATAAATAATGGTATTGAAAAAAAATAAACTCTGGAAAAAATTAATATTTTATTCAACCAAAAAACTTTTTGTGTAACCCATCAAACACATTAAGATCGGTCAACTTATCTATTTTAAAGTACATATAGTTAAATCAATAATGGATAAGTTAACGGCCTTAAAACTTATATAGTTTGTATAGAAACGTAAAGAACATACAAATGTATGAATAGTTTAAAAGTGCATCTCTTAATAATAATAATAATAGATTGGCGCTTACACATACGTTAGTTTTTGGCCGAGCTTCTCCTCCCATTTGTGACGTGCGCCTTGATGTTGTCACACAAAGGGGAGGGATCTAAAGTTTTACGCCCACTCCGACGGCGATCGTATTTTTATGAGAGGCTGTTTTAAACGTTTTTTTTTTTTTTAATTTTTGCTGTTGGGTTGAGCCGGGTTAAACCCAGACCCTGCAGAGTGGTAGCTATGTCTGTGAAGTTATCATACGGTATGAGGCAAAAAGACAAAGAAAGCTGTTCTGAGTAGGTTTCAATAGTTCTAGAGTTCGTGAAAAGGAAAAAAAAAGTTCTGGATATTTTGACAAAAAAGAAAATGGTTCAAAAATTTTGTATCCTAGATTCACGCAGCATGCGACATGCGACATGCGGCGAAAAGGCAAATAAAAAAATTGTCTGAGTAGCTTTTGAATAGTTCTAGAGTTCCTGAAAAGAAAAAAAGTTTTTGTAGAAACGAAATCGCCATAAATAACAAAAAACGTATGCCAATGTATGTAATGGTGAAAACGTTTGTTTTGCACTTATGTGCAGCATTTTGAAAAAAATTACATTTGCAATCCGGAGCTGCGAGATAGATCGTTCATACAATTCCACCAAAAATGACACTTTGCGATGTTTCATGAATCGCACTAATGGCTATTTTTTATGAACGTACTACCCAACATTGTCATTAAAATTTTTGTCATTTATCGCTTAGTGGAAATTCATAATTAACCCTACTTAAAGAAATGCATAAATTTTTTTTATTTGTTTTTATCAAAAATGAGAAAAAATTAACCCATTATTCTAAAAAGTGTATAATATGTGGATTTTTTGCAATACGGACGCTTTACAGTTTTTTTTTTTTGTTTTCGCTAACTCTATATTTACGCTTTTTAGAAAAGTGTTGCTGCAAAACTGCATACGTACTCAAATTTTTTTCTAAAACGACTAATTAAGGAGTGCAAAATTTTTATGAAAATTTTCATAAAGTTTGGAATTCCGATTTTTTGGGCTTTCGTTGTAGTATTAGCCATAATTTTATATAGAGTTATTTCCAAGAGGCTTCTTTGAGGAGCCCTTTAGACGGAGGAGAAAGAGAGGCAGGTCATTGAATTCTTTGGTCTTTGCTCTCTCAAGTTAGAAAGAAGGCTTGACACATCCAGCCACATTATGTTATTGTACCAGCTACAATTCGAATTTCTTCAAAATTTTATAGGTTTTCTGAGGGAAAATCGAATGTCGATTCTCGAATTTTTTGAATCGATTCACGGATCGAATCGGAACTAAAAAATCGACAAAAAATCGAATCGGAAGTGCTCGATTAATCGATCTTCGATTCAATCGATTTAAAAACGGCCTCTCTACTGATAATCGGTACAGTTATGAAATGTTTGTGCGACATAGAAAACAAGTAGCGGTAATTTCTGTATACTTAACTCAACTGTTTTATTTATTTTTGATTATGACACTCTTGCAGCTAATGTGCGATATCTACATAGATATGTATCTATTTACATATGTACATATCAATGAAGTTAGGTATATATGTACATAAATGATAACTCCAATTCACTTTTGGGACATTCCATTGTGTCTGGTGGTACATTTTACTCCATTTAAACTTGTGACTGGTGGGACATCTCTTCGTGACTGCTGTAAAGTAATTATGCATGAAATAAAAGTTTCCGTAGACAAAAATTACAACTTCTTATTATTTTTTTTTTAATTTTTCAGCAGGTTAATAAATGAAGTCATTTTAAATGTCGTTTTCTTCTTTTACATGAAATGACCCTTTGGTGAAAAGTGCAGTTTTATTTTCAGTGAAGTATATACCACTACGGGCAATCCATTATTGGTAGTCTTCAAGTAGGTTTTAGATTGTTGCGAAACGTGATAACAATTTCCATCTATTAAGAGTGTAAGCACGGATTTATTTTTAATAGTTTAATTTATGTAATCGACAAAACCAAAAATAGCAAAAATGGAGTTAGAATTGCCGGTCGCCACAGATAAGGACTTTTGCAATAGGCTTATAATTATTAGGCACAAATCTCCGGCGCGATAAAAAAAAACCAGAGCCCTCATTCAAATCTTTTCCGGCTAAACATTCGTCTCAACGTCGCGATGCGGCAATTACCATTAATTCATACGTCCACATACATACGTACATAAATATATATAAAAATAGGCCCAGTTCGAATGTTGTCGTCACTTAAAGTGTGTTTTGGAACAATTTCTTTTACAAATTTCCACATTTCAATGAGCACTTTTTGGGCTTCCTTCCGCTGCAAATTACGAGTGCATTTGCCACAGAAACAGCTTAAGTCTTCGTGTTCGAAATTAGAATGCCAGCACTGGTCATTTAGTCGATCAGTAATTTTTCAACTGTGCAGACGTCAAATAGCCTAACTGCAGCGGTTAATCAAAGTTACCAGTGATTTGATTTTGTGTCCTATTTAATTGAATAAAATTGGAAAACTTGGTTTTCAGTCGTAGATCTTAACCATTTTGCAGGGTTTTGATATCGATTTGAAAGCTAAAATAATTTTATCTACGGTGCCCCATCAGTGAATTTCGAACGAAAATGGATCCGAATGCCAATGAGGCGGACTTAAGTGTAAGCCCTTACGTAATACGTGATAAATCACAGAACTAAAAAGTTTTTTTGCATCACGACGAGCAATTAATTGGAGACCAGTCACTGCATTCACTAAAATTTGTATAATATTTATATACATTTTAAGCCAGTTTCTACTTGAGTAGTCTAGCGCTATCTGGGCTTCAAAAACCAAAGATCCAAATTGCTATTGCAGCAGTATTGATTTTTATAAATGCAGCTGTATTTATGTGGTACCACAGCCGAAGCAACGATTTTCTTGTCTCACTTTGGGAAAATTTTCCGCAGTGACCGCTTTTCGGCCATAGCACAAAAGTCGTATTTTGCCACTTTGTGCTGTGCGAAATTTTTTAAAACACTCATGACGTCACGTCGTGTAACGTATTTCTACCAACCTAGGCAACCAAAGCTTCTAACGAATGTATGGATTTTCACATTAAAGCTATATTGACACGTACGTACGGCTGCGGTTAACGTGATTATTTAAGCGGCTTAAATAGTTTGCTGTAAAATTTTCAAACGCACAAGATTTGACGGGTACTTTGTACATATGTGCATTTACAAATTCAAGGCCAGTGTCAAACGTGAATGAACTCGATGAAGCTTACTGAGACTAATGTTGGCTTAACAGCTTTCCTTCTTTTACTACTACTGTTTGGATTCTTATTGCAGATCGCTGACAAGGAAGGCAATATTCGACAATTTTCAGAAAGCACGCCTGACCTCAGCTCTTGCAACATTGACTCGAACTTTAATGTGGAAAATCAAAGTACTTCCTCCGGAAGTTCAGTGGAACCAAGAAGCGATTTTAGCTACACTGATACCGAAAAATCACCAAAAGTAAGATTTTATTTAACTTTATAGGCGTCAAATTTTAATTGTATCTTTTTTACCTAATTTTTCAGATCAACAAAGGTAGAAAACTAAGCTTACGTCATTCTAGTAAATAATGCAACGACATTGACTTATCTAATTTCAGTTCCTGGCCGCGAATCAGTTTTAAGCGATTACATCGCCGTCCACACTGTGCCGCTACCTGATCTATCAGCGGCAGTTACTGAATCGGAGGATGATGGTGGTAACTGAGGGCATAGAAATGCAAAACGCACTCATTTAAAGTATTTTCTTTTCAGTAGATCATGCCTCTATATCTTCAAGCATACTTGCTGAGGGTACTTGGGAGGATAACTGGCTTTTTAAGAAAAAGCGATCATCGTTAACGGCCTCCATTACTGGAAGTGTCGGAATGTTAGTGCCTGCACCAAAAGACGATGTACGTGCTCAAATCGGCGATAAGACCACCGATGAAATTAGTGACCTCTCCGAAATGGGCTCTGATACAGATGACTCGTCATCGAAAATAATTTGTGCCAAGATAGATCCACTTAACGACCGCATACTGAATAAGCATTTGATTGGTGGCCAGAATACGAAAGTGGTTTTAGATGAATTGATTGAAACAGCCAGCATGATTTCGAATAAATCACACTCAACACTCAATGAGCCAAAGTATACCGAAACAAGAAACGAACACGTTCTGGAAGCAGCGTCTAAAGTGGAAGCCCTTAATCCCAGTATTGCCAACAGCTCAGCTCAGGAAACTATGTTAGGTTATTCAGAAATCGAGCGGAAACAAAATCCATCACCAGGTAAGCGGAAATTGAATCCAAATTAGGTCATCGGCATACATTCCACCAATATCCTATTGATTCTAATACATACATATATATTACCTACATAAGTAAATAAATACATTTTACCCCCCACATGGTCGTTCACATAAACACAGCAGCTGTAGTGTAAATACTATGAACTTCATACCTACGCATTATCTATGTATGTACATATGTATGTAAGCTTGAATTCAGCAATTTATGCTAAACCGCTAAACAAATATACTCGCATGTAGTATATCAGGTAATTTCATAACGCCATTTACCCTTTCCGGAAGTCTCTATTGCAAGATACTTTGCATGATCTTTGTCTGACGACACTCAGTACGTCGTTTGTGTTTACAGCTCCTTCTGAATCAAGTGAAGACATTCAATACGAAGAAGGCTGTACCGGATTTAGTACAGTCGAAACTTTTGAACCAACCCCCTCCTCAGAGCACGAGCCTCGACCAATCAGCCAGGGTCCATCCGTCATTGAAATTCTTGCAGCTATGACTTTAAGTCCCATGTTGGCTGTGCCTGCTTCAGAGCAGCCACCAATTCTGACAGCTGCCGAATTGAGCTCTCTGAGGGAGTTAAGTGATTTGGCTTTGGCTGAAATAAAAGCGCGCACGCCTGAAATGGGACATCATTCTCTAGATATCATAGATGAAGAAGAAGAAAGGAAAGTTATAATCCTAGCAGAAAATAATAAACCTGATACTGACGAAAATAAGTCTGTGAATGTAAACATCGTTAAAGCAAGTGAAACACCAACGACAGCCACGAAGCCGCTTCTAAACAAATCCGAACTCGTCCACAATATTGTTATAGAAGAGCCTCGAAAGCAGGTCCTGCAACTACTTACAGCGGATGATGAGGCATATAAGTTAAAGGCCATGGCGGTAGCGGAACCGCGACCAATTGATAGCGTGCATCAAGAAATTGAAGCAGATCCAAAATCGCCAGAATTATTACCAACAGCTGAGAAACCGACCACCACATTGCTATCACAACTAGCTGTAAATGCTCTCAAACTATCTGAACCCTCTCGGTCTTTAGAAAGCGAGTTAACGCCGAAAATGAATGCCGAATCTACAGATACAGCCTCAGTCGTCGGAAAGCAAGAGCTTGTCGATTCGGAAACTGCAGTCGGTGAAACAGTCCCAGCTAATCCCATCAAAATAATTGATATAGATACCAAAGCAGTGATGGAAGGAGCGATTTCTTTAAAACCCACACAAAACGATAACCCTAAACAGAAAGAAGAAGAACTATTTAAAGAACCCTTAAACATTGACGATAAGTCTTCTGTAACCGTTATATCAGAAGAGCTAGTAACTTCAAAAACACCACAGAACTGTGAAACAGAACTGTCAGCAGAAGTCCAGCATTTAAGATCAGGAGTAGTTACGGTAATACATAAACAAGAAAACCTTGAGTTCGACAATATAGTGAACAAATCGATGGCCTCTGCAACACTTCAGATGCACGAAGCAGTGGTAGCTCTACAAGATGGGCAGGTGGAGAAGATGGTTCCGGATTTAGAAAGAAACACGACAATAGGCGATGCTGACTCGATTGTGGAAGGCACCGCCTCTTTACAAATACCGCACCCTTTAGAAATAAAAGCAGAGAACGTAGAGGTTTTCAAGGCAGGTCAATTAGACTCAGCTTATGTGACCGAAATGGTGATAACTTCCGTTGCAGCAGAAAGTCCAGAAATTGTTGGTATAGAAAAAGCGACGGATTTAGTAGACACATCACTAATGATTGCACAAGATATAGCACAAAATGTTCAAGCCAAAGGAAATTCCCAAACACCTACAACAAACCCGTTAGAAATTTTACAGATTAACAAGACCGATGGACAAAAAGAAGGCTCTTCTCAACTTTCGTTACTTGAAACCAGTTCCAATCCTAAGCCTGATTTGGTAGCGGAAGCTTCGATTAATTTTACCGCAACGCGGGTAGATGGAATCCATCAGACCATCGAAACATCTCAGCCGGAAATTTGTACTGAATCTAAAAAAGACAGCTGTGTTTCTGAGGGTGTCGAAATAAAGTATGCATTGAATACTGAGGCACCCTTAGCAGCAATACAGACTCAAGGCACAGAGACAGTAACATCTGTAGGTACGGATATATCGTCAGATACCATCCCGTTTGCCAAAGAGTCAAAACCTTTACTGGGCACTGATGTGGAGGTAGTTCCAGACATCAGTGAAATCATCTCGCCATATTATACCACTCAAGATATACCTATCGAACCAGACGAGACGAGAGAGACTGTCATGAATTCGGAATCAAAAAAATTGCAATTTACCGAAGTACGCCCAGTACCAGTTGTTAATGAAGAAATACTAACCAAAATTGACCAGGTCGACGAAGTAATTCCAGTCCCAGTCACTGATTCTGAAATTACATCAAAAAAAATCGCTCGAAATTTATCCGAAGAGAAACTGCCACTGACAATAAACGTAGAGTCAGTACCACTTGCTGAGCCGGACATACTGCCCGAACCATCTGTTCAAGAATTACCCGATGCGGTGTTGGAGCTATATCAACCCAACGAGCTAGAACAAGTATCAGTCATCGACGAGGTCAAAACGTCTGAGCAAAAAATTCAAAAAGTCCCTACGGAATCACAACCTATAACAACAACTGATGAAAAATCGACGGTAGTACTCAACGAAAGTATCGAGACCAACAAAGTAGAGGCCGGACCAGTTTACCTTGAAAATTTTCCGCCAAAAGCAATAAAGGAAAAGAATTTTACGGAATCAGAAAATACGCAAATCTACGAAGTAGAGCTAGTACCAGTAAATCATAACAATTTTCAAGAGGACTCTATGAAATCGGAGCCAATGGGAATGTTCGCAATAAAGCAAGAGTGTGATATCGTCAATGAAGAACTTTCGTCAGATAAAATCTTTCAAATACCCAAAGAGATTATTGAGGAAATTTCCACAGAAATAAGTCCATCAAATACTTACGAAGTAGAAACAATTCCAAACGTATCGACAAAAATAGTCGCGCAGGAAGTTGCAACGGAATCAACAGCCCCGCGAGAAATTCTTCAAAATATTCTCTCGGAATCACAGACACCGCAGGCCGATGAACAAGCGTCAGAGTCATTGAAGTCTGCAAATGTGACAGTCGTCAGTGTGGAATATCCGACAAAACCAAGCGTCGAAGAGGGCTTCACGGAAATTACATCTCTATTTAGTGAGGATTCAGATCTGGTGCCGTCCGTCAATATGGACACACCGCCCAAAACCGTAATTGAAAAATGTTTGAATAAATCAGAGCTACCGGGGATAGTCGAAATAGAACCAGTGCCAGCCACTAATTCCGCAAAACTTCCAAAACCTATCACCGAAATGATATCCCTAGAAAAAAGCCTAACATCGTCAACTGGATTAGAGCCAGTGCCACTCGCTGAGGTGCGCATACTGTCCGACCCAAACCTTCATCAGCCTCCTGTGGAAAAAGAACTATCGCCGACAGATGAAGAGGCGCCAGTTCCAGCCAATTCAGATATGCCGTCAGGTTCACTAATTCCCTTGGAATCCGCACCAAGTCAAAATAATGAAGGAGATACCGTATCGGACGTTGAAGCGCACACAAAGTCAGATAACATATTCCAAAAGACTTGCACACAACTGGAATTACCTCAACCTAACGAACCAACTCAAGAGAAAATTATTCAAGAGATCCTGAAGGAACCAAAGCCAGTGCCAGTCATCAATGACGACATATCTACAGATAAAGTCCTTCAGGTGAATGCGAAGAACTCAGAACCACACCACACCGTCGAAGAGGATACAATGTCCGAGATTAGTGCAGAAATAAAGTCATCGAAATCCACACAAAATAAATACATGGAAACAGAACGTTCACGGACAGACGATGAAAAACCGAGCCCAGTCGTCGAAGAAAAATTACAGTCAGATAAAAACCCCACTGAAATGGAGGAGGATTTATATATCAGTGAAAAAATAACACCTCAACCAATAATTCATAAAATTCTCACGGAGCCAAAACCAACCATACCAGTGAAGCCAGTGTCTGACATCAGTGCAGAAATACTGACCAAAACAATTTCTCAGGAAGCGCTCTTAGTATCAACATCTCCGCAGGTCAACGAAGGAGAAGCAATGCCTGTAGTCGCTGCAGAAATACTTGGAACCGCCGAACAGATTGTTACGGAATTGGAACCGTTGCAGATCGATGAAAAAGAGCCAGTACCACTGACACATGAAGACTTACCGTTTGATAAAATTTCTCAAAAGAACTTCATGAAATCGAAGCCAATGGAAACAGTTGAACTGATTTCAGTGCGAGAGATCAATGAGGAAACACAGTCGGTCACCAATCAAATCATTTCCATGAGATCAGAATGTTCACTGACAGACGAAGGACACGCGCTGCCAATCGTCATGGAATCAAATCTACCACTGACTGTGCCGATCGTCCCTATGGGCAAGTCGCCAAAACCAATCGTTCAAGAAGTTGGAACGGAGTCAACACCATCTCAGACAGATAAAGTAGAGCCAGTTTCAGCCGCCGATGCGGACTTAAATTCATACAATATACTTCAAAATCTTCCAACGGAATCATTACCACCACCTATCGACAAACAAATGTCAAAGCTATTCGCCAATGCAGAAGTTGAGTCAGAAACACACCTGAAACCAAACACAATGCTATCCGCGGAAGTGGACACGGTGGCAGTCGTCTCTGCTGAATTGCCGATAGAAACAGGCGCTCAAGAGATTCTCACGGAAATGAAACCTGTACCTAGTGGCGAAGCAGATCAAGTGCAATTCTGCAATGTCAAAACACCACCGAAAACAATAATTCAAGAAATTTGTACTGAATCAGAGCCGCCACGGAGAGATGACATAGAGAAAAAACCAGTCAATAATTTAGAAGTACCACCAAACCCGATTGCTCAAGAGATACTGAGCGAAGGAAAACTATTCTATGCCTCACTCCCTGAGTCGGGCATACAGTCCGAACCAAGCATTCAAGAGCTTCCTGCTCAACCAGAACTATGGCATACAGACGAAGTCGAGCCGCTTCCAGTAGTTATTGAGGGAATGCCATCGCACGCAATTATTCAGGAGATATCCGGAGAGTCCGAAACATTGAATATTGATGAATTAGACTTAGTGAAAATTATCAATTCAGACATGGCGTCAGATCCACTTGTTGATTCAAAAACTGCACCAATGCCGAACAATGAAGAAGATACCGTATCGGCCGTGGATTTGCTTTCAAATGCAGATTCCATGCGCCAAGCAATTCGCTCGCAAGTGGAACTACCTCCACCTATCAAACCAGCGCAAGAGTCTGTCGTCGATGAGTGCGAACCCCCTAAGGAAATTATTCAAGAGATCCCTAAAGAATCAAAACCCTGTAAAGTCCAACATCTAAATTCTTCGAAAGCAAAATCACACCAGACCCTCGAAATGGGCACAGAGCCAGACATCAGCGCAGAAATAAAGTCAGAAATATCTACTCAAAATAGTGCCAGGGAAACAGAACGTCCACAGACATACGATGAAGAACCAGACACAGTTGGCCCAGAGGAGTTAGAGTCAGACAAAAGCCTTCAAATTCCAGTCAATGAAATAAAGGAGTTTTTGGACATAATTGCAAAAATGCCGCCTAATGCAATTATTCACCAGATTTCCACGGAAGAAAAGCCACCGCCCATTAACGAAGTAAAACCAATATCGCTAGTTCACAAAGTTTCAATGGAGTCTAAACCACCGCTGGACGACGAACGAGTATCCGTTTCAGTTAACAAAGCGGAAGTAGCGTCATCTCCAGACATTCCAAAAATTTCCCCGGAATCAGAAATAGCCTCTGCTGACGAAGTGGAGGTTCTGTCCGAGATGAGTATAGAAATAATGTCTAAAACAATTGCTCAAGAGGTTGCGTTGGCATCAACACCGCAAATCAAAGAAGTGGGCGCAGTGCTTATCGGCGCAGAAAACCCCCTAAACACATTTCTGGAAGAAATTTCTTCGGAATCAGGACCGATGAAGATCGGTGAAGTTGAACCAGTACCAGTTGTCGATGAAAACGTCGATGAACGCATGGACACGGTTGAAGTGAAACCAGCTCAGGGGATCAGTGAGGAAATGACGTCAGATAATATCTTTCATATTCCAACGCCTAAAATAAATTCGAATTTGAAAAGCAAAGTAGAAATACCCCCAATACAAAATATTGAAAAGACTCCCGCGGAATCAAAGCCACTACAACCCACCAAAGAAGAAACCACTCTGATTATCCTTACGGACGAAATGCTAAAATCAGTCATTCAAGAGTTTCCAACAGAGTTAAAAGTCTCACAGGCCGACAAAGAAGAGTTAGTGCCAGCCAACAAACAAGGAACTCCTTTATCTCCAGCCATTCATGAGAATACCCCGGAATCAGAAACAGTCCCTGCCGCCGAAGAGGAACCATTGCCTGACGTCAGTACAGACATACTGTCAAAAACAATTGCTCAAGAAGTTTCCAGTACTAGTGCTCCAGTCCCTGTCGTTGAAATTAAGTCAGTGTCCGACGTCAGTAAAGAAATACTGTCAGAAATAATTATTCAAGAAGTTGCCCCAGAATTAATACCTCCGTTGATCAACGAAGTGGCATCAGTGGCTGTTTTCGCTGAAGATATGTTGCCAAATAAATCCACAGAAAAGATTTTAACGGAATCATTACAGTTGCGTATCGACGCAGTGGAACCCTTAGCACTAATCTCTGACTCCATGAAGTCGGAGCCGATAGAGACGGTCGAAATAAATTTAATGAGAGAGATCAATGGGAAAATACAGTCAGACAACATTCGAAGTATTTCAATGGGACCAGAAAGTACACCTTCAGTCGTCACTAAGGAATCTACATCAGCTAAAATCCCTCAACCGCCAACGGTACAATCAAACCCAATTATTGAAGCCACTCTGATGGAATTAAAGCTCCCACATACCGGAGAAATAGAAACAGTGCCAGTCGTCCCTATCGACGAATTGCCAAAAGCATTGGTTCGAGAAATTACAAAGGAGTCAAAACAATCACAGACCGGCAACGTAGAATCAGAGCCTTCAAGGGCAGACATGCGAGCCACAGAGCATCTCGCCACCGAAGAAGTTGAGACAGACACACAGGCACAAGATATTGTGATGAAATCAAAAGCAGTGCTAACCGCGCAAGCGGACACGGTAGCAGTGCTCACTGCGGAATTAGCGATAGAAACAAGTGGCCAAGAGGTTCTCGCGGAAATTAAACTTGTACCTGCTGACGAATTAGAGGCAGTGCCAATCTGCAATGCGGAAATACCGCCAAAAACAATAATCCAAGAGATTTTTACTGGATCAGAGCAGACGCAGATGCACGAGACAAATCAAGAACCAATCAAAAATTCGGAAGTTACAACGGCGTCAACACCATCACATACCGACAAAGTAGAGCCAGTTGCAGTCCCTGAAAATCTTCCACCTGAACCAGAGCATTCACAGGCAGACATGCGCGCGGCAGAACATCTCGCCAACGCAGAAGTTGAGACAGACACACAGGCACAAGAGATTGTGATGACATCAGAAGCAGTGCTAACCACGCAATCGGACACGGTGGCAGTGGGCACTGCCGAATTAGCGATAGAATCAGAGGCAGTGCCATTCTGTAATGAGGAGAAAACAATAATTCAAGAGATTTTTACTGGATTAGAGCCGACGCGGATGGACGAAACAAATCAAGAACCAGTCACAAATTCGGAAGTTACAACATACTCAACACCACCACAGACCGACAAAGTAGCGCCTGTCGCAGTCGCTCAAAATCTTCCAACTGAATCAGAGCCTTCACAGGCAGACATGCGAGGGACTGAACAACTCGCCAACGCAGAAGTTGAGACAGACACACAGGCACAAGAGATTGTGATGACATCAGAAGCAGTGCTAACCACGCAAGCGGACACGGTGGCAGTGGGCACTGCCGAATTAGCGATAGAATCAGAGGCAGTGCCATTCTGTAATGAGGAGAAAACAATAATTCAAGAGATTTTTACTGGATTAGAGCCGACGCGGATGGACGAAACAAATCAAGAACCAGTCACAAATTCGGAAGTTACAACATACTCAACACCACCACAGACCGACAAAGTAGCGCCTGTCGCAGTCGCTCAAAATCTTCCAACTGAATCAGAGCCTTCACAGGCAGACATGCGAGGGACTGAACAACTCGCCAACGCAGAAGTTGAGACAGACACACAGGCACAAGAGATTGTGATGACATCAGAAGCAGTGCTAACCACGCAAGCGGACACGGTGGCAGTGGGCACTGCCGAATTAGCGATAGAAACAAGCGGCCAAGAGGTTCTCACGGAAATTAAACCTATACCTGCTGACGAATTAGAGGCATTCTGTAATGAGGAAAAAACAATAATTCAAGAGATTTTTACTGGATCAGAGTCGACGCGGATGGACGAAACAAATCAAGAACCAGTTACAAATTCGGAAGTTACAAAATATTCAACACCATCACAGACCGACAAAGTAGAGCCAGTTGCAGTCGCTCAAAATCTTCCAACAGAATTAGAGCCTTCAGAGGCAGACGTGCGAGCGACAGAACATCTCGCTAACGCAGAAGTTGAGACAGACGTACAGCCACAAGAGATTTTGATGAAATCAAAAGCAGTGTTAACCGCGCAAGCGGGCACGGTGGCAGTGGTCACTGCCGAATTAGCGATAGAAACAGGTGGCCAAGAGGTTCTCGCGGAAGTTAAACCTGTACCTGATGACGAATTAGAGGCAGTGCCATTCTGCAATGAGGAAATACCGCCAAAAACAATAACTCAAGAGATTTTTACTGGATTAGAGCCGACGCGGATGGACGAAACAAATCAAGAACCAGTCACAAATTCGGAAGTTACAACGGAGGCAACACCATCACAGACCGACAAAGTAGAGCCAGTTACAGTCGCTCAAAATCTTCCAACTGAATCAGAGCCTTCACAGGCAGACATGCGAGGGACTGAACAATTCGCCAACACAGAAGTTGAGACAGACACACAGGCACAAGAGATTGTGATGAAATCAAAAGCAGTGCTAAGCGCGCAAGCGGAGACGGTGGCAGTGGTCACTGCCGAATTAGCGATAGAAACAAGTGGCCAAGAGGTTCTCACAGAAATTAAACCTGTACCTGGTGACGAATTAGAGGCAGTGCCATTCTGCAATGAGGAAATACCGCCAAAAACAATAATTCAAGAGATTTTAACTGGATTAGAGCCGACATGGGTGGATGAACTAAATCAAGAACCAGTCACAAATTCGGAAGTTACAACGGAGGCAACACCATCACAGACCGACAAAGTAGAGCTAGTTGCTGTCTTTCAAAATCTTCCAACTGAATCAGAGAGAGTAGAAACACTATCAATCGTAGGTGCAGATATACCGCCAAAAGCCATATCGGAGGAAATTTTTGCGGAAGTACCAGCGACAAATGATAAAATTTTTGAAGAGAATGTCATAAAATCAGAGCCAATAAATACGGTCGAGTTGATGATAGCGCGAGAGATTGGCGAGGAAACACATTCAGACATCAGTCAAATTAATGCCATGGGGCCAGCGCTTTCACTAGTAGACGAGGAAGAGACGCCGTCAAGCGCCATTGAGGAACTAGCTTCAGCTAATATTCTTCACCTGCAAACGTTACCGTCAAACCCGATTATTCAGGAAATTCCCATGGAGCCAAAGCCACCACATATCCATGAAATAGAGACAACGTCCATCGTCCCTACGGACAAATTACCAAAACCATTCGTTCCAGTATTACCAGAGCCAAAAGCAATGCTGTCTGCGATCATCGATGCGGAATTACTGGTACAAACAAACGTTCAAGATATTCTCACCGAATTTAGATCTTCTTCAAAGGGAGAAGCAGAGCTAGTGTCACGAGCCAATGTGAAATTACCACCCAAAACAGTCACTCGAGAGATTTTTACTGAATCAGAGTCGCCGCGACTGGAAGAAGTAGAACCAGTGTCAGTTGAGATACTGAGCCAAGAAAAACTGCCTCAACCGCATGAAGTGGAGCCAGTGCCAGGCGCCGAGGCGGACATCATCTCCGCGCCAATTATTCAAGAGCTTCCCGCGGAATTAAAACAAACTCAGATAGACGAAATAGAGACGATTTTAGTTATGAATGTGGAAATACCACTAAACATAATTAAAGAAGAGATTTCCGCAGAATCAGAAACATTGCAGATTAATAAATTAGAGCTAGTAAAAATTTGCGATTCAGACTTGCCTTCAGATTCACTCCTTGACTCGGGATCAGTGCCAAGGCAGATCAATGAAGAAAGTATCGTATCGGTCGTTAATCCCATTCGTCAAGATTTCGAGATGGATTCAACGAAATCTGAAGTGAACACAGATCAAGAAATCAGTGCAGAAATAAATTCAAAAACATTCACGCAAACCAATACCATAAAATCACAACCATCGCAGACCAACCTAGTAGAACTAACTCCGATCGTTACACCGTACGAACCGTCAACAACAATCATTCACGATATCGTGGAGTCAACATTATCACGGGCCGACGAAAACGATTCAGTAATAATTCTTAAGGCGAAAATACCGCCAGTAACAACCTGTCACGAGAATCCTCCGGGAACAGAAACCGAGCTGGCTGCCCAAGTGGAAGCATTGTCCGAAATCAGGGCAGATTTACTCTCAACAACCATGTTTCAAGCGCTTGCTTCAGAATCAACATCACTCATCGTTGAACAACTTTCTGCAGATTTGCAACCTATGCCAACCTGTGAAGTAGAAGTAGGACCAGTGATCAATGAAGGCATATCTTGTGATACAATTCGTGAAGAGAATTATATGAAATCAGAGGCTGTGGAGACCGTTACAACAACAACAATCGACGAAGTAAAGCCAGTGCAGGATATCAGTGAAAATATGCAGTCAAACTTAATTCAAAGCAAAGCCATGGGCTCAGCGCCTATCCTTACTGAAAATCTAATGTCAGATAAAATATATAAAATGTCGGAATTAAAGCCACCACAAGCTGAAGAAATAGAACCAAAGCCCATCGTTACTGCAGCTGAATATCCACCGGATATCGACAAAGTTACCGATGCGGAATTTACATCATACAAATCCATTCAAAATCTTACAACGGAATCAAAGTCACTACTATCCGATGAACCAGTACAGTCAGAATACCCACAAGAGATTGACACGGAGCCAAAAGCAACGCCGTCCGCAAAAATTGATACAGTTTCAGTCGCCGAAGAGAGTTTAGCGACGACAATATTTCAAGATATTCTCACGAATTCAGACGCAATGCAGACCGCCTTAGTGAAGCCCATACAAAACATTAGTGAGGAAATACAGTCAGAAACAATCAATGAAAGCTACGTCGAGGGATCAGGATGTTTGAAGACCAACGAAATAGAATCAGTTTCAATTCACACTGAGAACCAAATAACAGATAACATTCTTCAAATGCTGACACCTGGAGTACAGCCCGTCGTCGGCGAAGACAGAAAGCCAGATAGAATGATTCAAAATATTCCAACTGAGATACGGTTTTCACAGACCCACGAAATTGAACCATTATCCATGATAAATGCAGGAGAGGTTTCCACCGAATCGAAACTTATTCAATTTGCCAAAGAGGAGCCAGTGTCGGTCGTCAATGTGGAACCACCGACAGAAAGAATTATTCGAGAACTTGAATCTCCGTATACTGGTGAAATAGAGACAGAGGTATTCGTTAATATGGAGATACTGCCAGGAACAATCGCTCAAGAAGATCCCACGGTAGTCAATGAGGGCACAATCTCATATTCAATTCTTCACGACATTCCCAAGGAACTCGAACCTATGTCGACTGGTGAAGTACAGCCAGTTCAAATAAGCAATGTGGACACAGCCTCAGATTCAGTTCTCCATGGGGTTACTTCAGAACCAAAACCATTGTTGATCGACGAGGTGGAACCAGAACTGGTCGTCCAAGTAGACATAGCCTCAGATGAAATACAAGTGCCCGTGGCACCTTTGCAAGGAAAAGAGGCTGACGCATTGAAGTCAATACCGCTTGTCAATGTGGATACAAAAACAGATGTAATGATTTTAGATGGTCACAAACAATCTGTATCACAATGTTTCCTTCGAACTATTGAAGAAGATAAATTATCAGTCAACACGCGAGTAACATCGGCTAATATAGAATTAAAGTGCACTGATGAAACAGAAACAATGTCAGTTCTCGTTGAGCGCATATTACCGAATACAATCCTTTTGCAGAATCCCAGCGAATGTATATCAGAGTCATCGTCCCTAGCTGCTGTTGAAACAAGAATACCACTAAACGTCTTTTGTGAAACTCCGCATACAACATTGAACCCGGAAACTCAGACTGCATCTCAAACAGACGCTGGAACGCCGGATGCACTAAAAAAGATCGCCGAATCACAAAAACTACTAGATCTTGAAACACAAACTCTGCCTACAACACCGAGTAAAGAGCCCACGACTGTGATTCTAAATACTACAAAATGCGTGGAAGCAGAATCATCAAAAGAAGTGGCTAATTTACTTTCTTCAGAAGCACCTAACGAGGCTCACAATTTAGCTGATCAAAATTATGAAAACATATCGGCCACTGTAGAAATAGAAAATTGTATTTCTGGTTTCGATTCATCAACTTTGCAGTCGCACACTTTTACCTCTGAAGCTACAATTACTGGTCAAAGCTGTTCTACCGGTTTTATAGAAGGAATGTCGAATGAAGATATTGTTTCAAGTGGAAATAGAGATGAAGGCTTTGCCCAAGCAAGATCTTTAGGTCCTAACAATAACTCAGACATATGCGGTATAGCCTTCGCTGACTCCTTAAGTTTATTTAGACCCATGACAAAGCGGCTTTGCAGACAGTCACATGTAGTCGACACAACATCGAGCGATGAAGACTGTTCACTGCGATATGCCACGCACCTGGCCTCACTGAGCAAAACTTTTATAAGAGATAAAAGACTCTTGGCTGCGCTCGAAAAGCAGCGGCGTCAATCAGAGGTCATGCAAAAGTATCTGCGCTCTATTGACTCATTTGAAACAGATTTTGACTACGAATATCATACGCAATCTGTTCTCCCCGAGCATACACTCATATTAAGCACACCGCCTCCACCTCTCCCTATAGATGATGTTATAGATGATGAAACTGATGACTCCCTTATAAAATCACTCAGTGATTGTAAATTTAACTTCCTTAACGATATTCTTTTCTCAGATCAATTGAGTTCCGACTCAAATCGCACCGACGAAAGTGCGCCAACAACTGTCGAATCATACCTGGCAGACTGTAATAATGAACTAGATCTGCCACTAACTAACATTTATAATAGCACAACCGCGACTACTACCATACTAACAAACGGCTCATACCTAAGAATAAGTCCATCACAATCTAATTGTAACGTCAACCAAGAAGATCATTTTATTAACAACGACAGTAACCACCAACCAGATATTAACAGTGCAGATGATGATGTTATCCATTTGAGATGTTTCGTGCCAGGTAACACAAAGTGAATGCCAACATCGCTCGGTGTTGTGGTCTGTTGTGTTGTGCTTCGTTGTTCTGTGTTGTTGTTGTTTTTTTGTTTTCGTGTTTTACCGTCATTATTTATAAATTAAGCTAACTTGTGTCTATATTTGTATATGTGTTCATATATAATGTAAGTGTTTTTTTTTTTTTTTTTAATTAAGCAACTCATTCGTATTTGCGGAAGACTTTTCTCCATTCCCTACTTAGTTATGAAAAGATTCTGAAACAAAACTATCTGAATGCTTTACTTCCATACTTTCAGGCTCTATTGCAGAGCGTGAGTACAAAAAGTGGAATAATGCGGTGGAAATGCCGAATAATCCGTACGCGCCGGAGGCGTTGAAGCGTCGCATCAGCGGTAGCCAAGAACGTTTCATGGATTTACCGAATATAGTTCCGAACACGGAAAAAAGTCCCATATCTCTGATAAAAACCGATGCGGCAGACGACAGTCGCAGCGAAATTGATTACAAAAGGTAAATTTGAAAAAATATTCTACATTCTACATGCAATACTTGTTTCCCGATTATACAATTAAAACTTTTGTGATCAGATACAGCCGCGACTACTACATTAACGATGATAAAGTGTCGAAAACTAGTCCGAAACACCAAATTGTCGCTACAGACGGTAGTCGACCGAGTCCGAATATCAGTGACGAACCCACAACAGACATAGCCATCAATGAGGTAAATTGCCACACCAAAAATACATATAAGAGTATCCCGCTGTATACTGATCATAGCGACTCTCATTGGACCCTTTCCACCACTCCAGTGCATCGTAGCAGCTCCCTAAAATTCATTAGCCGTCGCTCACCATCAGAATCATATTACAATCTCACAGCAAATGCAACCTCCACTTCCACTTCCACTTCCACTTATAATCAAGCACATTTACCACCACGATCATTCACCTCAGCATCCCATTACGAAAGTTCGGACCGCATACACTTTAAAGACAACGACAACGGCAACGACAGCTCCAGAAACGCGAATCGACGTCGCAACATTAACAGACATAGCGAATACGAAGATACCGGCAACCTAGACGCGGACAATTACAATGACATAGACAATTACAGTGACGACATACGTTCGCAACGGTCGTGGAGAAGTGCCAGCGCTGCTGCCAACTATCCTGCTACGCTTCCTAAGCGTCGTGCCCACTCCTCACTTAGTTTTTATCGAGGTGGTAGTGGTGCGTCGGGAATCTCGTTAGCGACTAAAACGCGCACGCTACCATCGAGTCATATTTTGTCACAATTCGAGAAGCAATTGCTCCACAAAGATCTCAAACGCGACAGTTTTCGTGCCGCTTCGGCGACGACCAAAGATTTCGTAATGAATCCACTTTACGAGAAGGACAATCTTAATAATATCGCTACAGACAATGAAAACAGTCCAAATGCTGAAATAGCGCAGCGGGGATCGAGCGAACAAATGGACTCTGGAGTCGACAGTTGCTTAAATGGTCTCAGTGAGACCGACGTTAAAACGAGCAATACTAGTTTGCTCTTTTGATGAGCTACTTACATACTACATACATAGAGTTTGAGGAATGAAAGAAATATGCGATGCTCTTTTTTTCGCTTAAAGCCAGCCACGAGTAAACATATTACTAGTCAGTAGTGCAACGCATAAACGTTTGAGTTTTTCATGTTCTAAATATAGCATATTATCAATTTATAAATATAGCATAGTTATGTAGGTAAGGTGCGGGTATTTATGAAATATTCTCGCGCGTGGATTGACGAGGGCCATTGTAGAATAAAGTTACACCACCCACAACGTACCAACGAAGTTGTTTGCATTTACCCAAACATACATACATACATACATACTTATAAATAATGTCGATACATATTTGCACAAGCTAGGGCCCTATAATCTACTTTAGCGGCCTTATCACAATAGAGGTATTCACGATCCGGTGCATACTGTCTAGCATGGGGCATAGATAGCATAAATAGCATTATTGTTGTTGTTTGAACACATGAAACATATAAGCCAATCATCCTATTTATGCTATCTATTCACCATGCTACACAGTATGCACCGGATCGTGAATACCCCTAATGTCAATAAAAGCATGTACGCATGCAGTTTAATACTTATGCAATCTAACCATGTATGATGTATGTATGTATATCCGATTATTGCTAACTATTGTGCCACCTTAGCTTTTTTAAACACTAGGTGTGCATATTAGCGAATTCCTAATGTAACGCACCCTTTTTATTAAATATGTAAATGAATGCATTAGTTCGCCCAGCTTAAGCACGTAAAAGTCGTTTAAATGTGTAAAGGTATGTATACTGCCGGAACAAAGTATTGGCACAGCAAAATTTTCACACAATATGCAACAATTTTTATTCTAATATTTTTCCGCCAATTTTGTATACGAATTCCTAAACTTTGTGCAAAACTCGCAAAAATTCAGCAAATTTTCATCAAAATTTTAATTCATTTTTTAATCAGATTTTTTAGAATTGTTTTGAGTATGCAGTTTTGCAGCCAATTAAATTTTAGTAAAAAAATGCAAGTTCGGAGTTAGTCCATAATCCCGTTGATTTTTGAGAATTTTTTTTTTGATGAAGGTATAAAGTATTTTCGAAAAAATTTTTTGTATGGAAGAGACTGCATGAAAAGAAATTGCCAAAAATCAACGGTAGCTACTTAAAACTTACACTTTATAAGTAAAATTGATTGGGCTACAAATCTGCATATCGAAAAAATTCTGAAAAATCTGATTAAAAAGTAGAAAATTTTCATGAACATTTGCTGAATTTTCGCGAGTTTTGCACAAAGTTTAGGATTTATTATATTTTTATTTTTTTTTGTTGTAGAATGAACCATATTTTTATACGAAATTAGCGGAAAAATATTAGAATGAAAACTGTTGCATATATTGTGAAAAATTTGCTGTGCCAATACTTTGTTTCGGCAGTGGATGTATGTATGTAATTGCTTTTCGTAATTGATTTTGAAATTATCAGTTGCTTACTTTGAGTTATACATAGATTTTGATTTCGCTTTTCTTTCTCCCAACATTTATTCCATTGAAACAAGTTGAAATTTTTCTTTAGTTAGATATACGCCAAATGGCTTTGAATTATCGTTATTTTTATTGGATATTGTGTACCTAAGCTTTAAGTAACATTGTCATGAAGATGTATGCTCTTTTTGAATAAATAAATAATTATTTCAATAAAGTTTACACATGTTAAGTATCTACGTAGTTAATAAACACAGCTATATGTATGGCTCCAGAAAATGTATTTGCATAAATTTATTATATACATAGTTGAAAGTTGAAAACTAAAAAAAAAAAAAAACAAATAAACAATTTTAAAGAGACAAATGTTTTTAGTAAAGTTAGTTATTGAAAACAAAAAACGACAAGCAAATCGAAGAGGTAAGTATGTTTTCATTTGAGTGCGTCCTTTAAATTGGCTAGTAGCTACAGCATTATTGATTTTATGTTATGTATAAATGCATATTTTGGTAATTTTACTAACAACATTTGTTTCACTGAGTTCACCATTCCACACATGAAGAACACAATGAAAGCAAGAATATGAACTAACGCACACTAACATAATACAGGCTCCACTTTGAACCAAAAAAAAAACGGTTTTTATAAAGAAACTTATCGCCAATCGCGGTAATTTATGCAAATGGAGCCAACTCGCTTAATTATAGTCTACCTGCTGCAATTCGAAACGAGTTGAGTTTTCTTTTGCCAGCCGGTTGCCATAAACTGAGGGGCTTTTGCAAAGATTACAAACCCATTTAACCTTTAGTATAAACGTACATTTACACGCTTAGATGGATACCCATACTAAATGCAAACTTTGCATGCTGAGTATTTTAAAAATTTGTGTTAACATACAAATGTATTTGCATGTACATATTTACTTACATAAATACATGTCGCACGTTTAATAATCTACAGATGTAATTCTAAATTTACGTTTTTGGAGATTTTATCATCACAATTAATAAAATTTATAAGGAGAATATGTTCGGGCTAACAGAAGACAAAGTTTCCCAAAAATGGCGAAGATTTGTGTCTTTCCATCTGTCTTTTGGTATACAAACTCTATGTATTGCGTTTTCCTACAAAATTGAAATTTTCAATTAGCTCTGTATATTATTAAATGTGTGATGCACTTATGCACTTGATTTTGCCTAACAACTTTGATGGACTTGGGCGCGGCTAAGATATTGACCAAAAATTGTCATTTTTCACACAGATAGTGTTTAGGGCATAATGCACCATATTTTGACTATTACCAATCGAAATTCTAGAAAAGCGGATTTTCGGTCTTCGCTAGTATGTACATATGTATGTGCAACAAATGCTCACGGATCATAAATACTTATGTATACATATATATGTACATTCCTGAGAAAGTTTGAAGAAATATTTTGGTGTAATCTGTTGCAAAGATCACAATCAGGATTCTCAGATATATCTTCTTTTTTGTTTTCTGACAAATGGCGAATTTTCAAATAACACATTTTCGAAGATCATAGCGTTTTTTTTATATAAAGCTCTTTTGCTCGTGCTTTTTGTAATGTATGTATGTATGTACATATGTATGTATGTATGTATGTATGCATAAACATCTAAAATCTCACGTGATGTTATACGTCAATCAACATATTTTTGATGAAATATAGAAAACTGCCAACTGAATTTAAACAAAAAAAATTCATTAAAAATTTTGACACATGTGTACCGAGGCGAATCAAATCAGCTGATCTAACAGCACCACCTTATATAAATTCGCCTTGAATGAGAAACAAAAAACCAAGCTCCAACACATACAAGTCTATGCGTATGGCTTTTTAAAGATTGCAGATTGAAGTCTTTGATGGGGTTTAGTATAATGTAAAAACCTTATTTCGAAAAAAAATGTCAGCTACGGCCTTTCTACAATTCAACAACGATATAAACAATTTTTATATAAATAGAAATAATCCAAAGTAGATTCATTTTGGCGATAACTTGTGCACATTTTTCAATTTATAAACCTTTGTTAAAGCTACTTTACTTTTTATGAACTAATAGCCTTAGTTTATTCGTTTATCAATCACTTTCTTGACCCAGTATACATATATCCATCAAAAAATTTCATTTGCGTGAGAACTACATATGCAGCCCCTCTTCTCGCATAGACACACTAATACATTTACAGCACATACGTATATTCCAATGGGATCACCATCTAATGCGACACACCTACAAACATACATACATACATACATCCCCATAATCTAATAATCCAAAGAAACAACGGCTTTGTTAACATTATTTGATTCTTGGTCTTTGGTGTTTTTTCTATTTATACCACTCTCTTTTCATAAAACAATGCAAAAATATCATAAAACACAAAAACTTCATCACCAATCTCACCAATCCTCCAAATACACACATCTCTGAAACGTTTTGGTTAAACATCGTAATCGAAAATACATATGTATGTATGTATGCGTTTGAAATATATATATATGTATAAAACATACAACCGAAAGCCCATCGAGCCACATTCCGCAGTGTATGAAGCGCTTCCCGCCCAAGTGGTGGAGGAGAACAATGCATCCATTGAAACACTTTCCAATCAATCCATGCAATCGGTAAACACTACCACCACCAGTGACGACTCCGATACAGTGCGTATTTACGATTTTAAGAACCAACAAACCACCACCCTTCGCAATGAGAGGAAGACGCCAACGGCCGAATTAATAACCACTAAAGATTCTGGCGAACCGACATTGCAAGCGGCGGTAACCATATCCACATCCATAGAGGACTCGCCACCAAATTCTCCAAATGCGGCCGAAGCGAACTCTGGTGGCATAAACCCCACAATCGCGCGCACACCAATCACGCCGACGCGAGGTTCCACACCAATGGCGTTCAAATTTCTGCAACCGAAACGAAAACTAATTGATCCGAGTAAAATACTATCACAGGACGAAGGTGCAGCAGATGCGGTGAGTAGGGAAAGATTTAAGAAAAGACATATCGCTCATTTGCTGCAAGAGTGTCATAATCAAAAAAAAAACACCTCATCTTCTATGTTGTGTAAAAATTTCATAGCTGTATCGATTAACCGTAGCCCATTAGAAGAAAACTTTAAAGCAGGTTTTCTCGAGTTTTTAATTTTTTTAGATTATGTCACTCTTGCAGAAAATAGTTAACCGGCTATTCTTTGAGTAATAAATATGTACATATTTATTTCCGATTCCATTTTCAGCTCCCCAATTCTCCACCTGGGGAAAAGGCGGTAGTCGAGGAGGAGGTGGCGCAAGTTATGCCATCCGTGAAAGCATTGGCCCAAGCATTTCTCTTCAGCTCAAATAAGTATTCACCCGCGGAAAAACGCTGGAAGAAGGGGGTAAGTAAACTTTTTTGAACATAAGACTTCGTTTAAACTTAACTAAAAGTCCGTAAGAATTAATAATTTCTGTATAGGACTCTACCAAGGTGTGATTGACAACTCAGGTAGGCTCTCTTTTAAGGTAATATTATGCCAAAAAATATACACAATCGATTCAAAATTCATACAAAATTTTTTCAATTCGACTTTATAGGATGGTTCTTCTGAGAGCAATGTCAAATTCAATCACACTTTGTTGAATAGATTTTGGACTCTACTAAGTAAATAATGTTGTAAAACCACCACCGCAGTCCTTTCTAAAAGCTTATATTAACCAAACTACATACATACATATGTATGTGGATTTGGGTTGAAAAACTTATGAAATTGATTTTTAAGATTTCCATAGCAATCGTGCCTTGGAACGAAGCTATCAACCATTATTAAACAATTAGGGTATGAACCTAAATAATGACGAATTTATTAGGTAACTCTTATTTAGTAACCTTGTTTATATACCTACACTGAGGGAAATAGTGTATAGTAAAAATTAATACTTTATATTTGATTATCATTAAAAATGTTCGCATTTAAAAATAATATTTTCATACAAAAATTTAGCACGCACTTATTTGAATGTTCACATCTGCGTATGTACATATATCGTCACCTGAGTGGAATATCGATCTATCTCGGCAGCCAGTTCTAAAACGCTGTATCTCAGAAAACTATCTCAGCACATTTTCAATGTATTTTCTTTCAGCTGTGATAGGGCGTTTTTGAACCGAATTCTGAGATAGGGCGTTCTTCAACCAAATTCTGAAACAGGTCGTTCTGCAATCAAATTCTGAAGTAGGGCGCTCTTAAAAAGCTTTCTGTGATACGGCGTTTTCGNAAAGGGAATTACTTTAGCTTTCAAAACCATTTTGTTTCGTATCAAAATGCCGCTGCTGTCGAAAGCGCTACGAAATCTCCCCTATTTCCGTTCCCTCCCCCCTCCGTAGATCCGTCCCTGGCCAGTGGTACATTGCATATGATGCTGCTGCCGTGCATATTTTTACCATTTAGTGAAATAAAAAAATAAAATGTATGCCTTTTAAAAAAGTACCGTTTCGACTCGAACTTACTGACTATTTTTACTTTTAATATTTTTACTTCTTGCAGGTCCATAACATGCCATCCGTGTCGCATACCAAACCAGGAGTCACAAAGAAAACTGAGGCTAGTCTTTCCGTCGTTGAAATAGCAGAAGACGCCACGATTGCATCGGATCTATCGTCATTAGAGACGTAAGTGAAAAAGCCCACATGAAGAAAGTTGTGATTTTGTGTCGATTGATTCCAAAATATTGTCTCCCTTTTCGGGCAGGGATCCACCAACTAACAAGGATCTATCGAACATCGCATCCCCCGATACGCTTTTATCGACATCTCCCTCAACGATAAGCCCACCTGCAGAACACGCAACAACAAACGCGGAAGGCAACAAAAGTACAACAAATGCGTTACGGCGTGTTAGCATGTTAAAAAGTAATATTGCTTTCTTTGAGAATTTAAGGTTCAAGTAAATATTCTTGATAAATAAGTTGGAAAATTTATCGAAGCAATCGAAGTGTGGTTTGTTGTAAACCCAGTGCTGATTGGAAACTATTTCACGTGAAAAAATAGTTTCTCCAAATTAAAAATGCTGGGCACCTGGGCACATTGCAGAAATATAATAATCGGGCTATACTAACACTTATTTATGTACACATAAAGTTACCTACATTGGGCTGGCCCAACACAATACACAGGAAAATAAACTTTTTGAAATTTGCCTGCTGCCGCCCCAGAACTGTAGAATATCGAAAATAAGGAGACCCATATTTTTTTAATTGGAATCTAGTTAATACTGGAACCGTGCCGCCTCCTCTCTGCAGTTTACCATATATTTTACTTCTATTCTTTCGTAACGCGCGTGATGTGGTTACGAACACATAAATTAACACATTTTTTGTATATAAAAAAAAAGATTATCGATTATGAAAAAATAGTTAGTAAAATTTCGGAAAAGTTAAATGTGAATCATAATTTATTTTTTGAAGATTTCTGAAGAGAAATATTCTTAGTCGATCCAAAAATGTTTGATTTTAATAATTTTATAGCGATTCTAGGAAAAATTGTATTCCCCTCTTGTAAAATATATGGAAAAGTTCCAAGCCCCGGCGCAACAAAGGCTGGAAGTGTAAATTTTTAACCGATTTGAAGATTTTCTAGACCCGAATTAAAAAAAAAAAGAGTTTCGATTTTTATGAGCAAATGGCGTAAGTCGAAAAATTAAAGAAACTAGAAGTAAAATTTTTCTTGGTGACAAATTGCAGATTTTGGATGTGGTAAAAATGTTTTCTGGGGTCGTGGAATTCGATTCTGACGAAAGAAGAATCACGAAATTTAAAATGACCGATTCAATATGGCACACTTTATCCACAAAAATGCAAAGGATAAGAGTTTTGAATAGCATCCACCTTATTGGATTGGCCATTATGAATTTTACGATTCTATCATCCGAATCGGACTCAAAGACCTTAAAAACGTTTTCATTACCTTCAAAATATTGATTTAAAAATACGGCTTTCCTTATTTTTGACTTTGAACAGTTCTTCCTAATGTACATTCAATCATACACATACATGTACATCCTTATGTATGTATGTACATTACGGTGCCCTCAATTTTTTTTTTTCAAGACCTCACCCCCTAATTTCATACGTACAAAGTGTAAGGTTCCATAACGTCGAACTACAAAATATTGACAATGTATACTGTTCCAAAACGCAGCCGAAAAGTTAGCGAAACGCATCGCCAGAAACAAAGTTGATGCTTCGTTTGTTATTGGTTACGATTTGTGTTTTAAAAACGGAAAATTCAGAAAAATCGTTCAATGCTATATTGAATATTCAAAATGTGAATTGTATATGGTTGCAATGTGTCGCAACTCTGCATATACAAACAGTTTGAGTACCGCAGTATAACAGTTTCCAAACATTGTATTGATCCGATTTGGAAGTCAGCCTATCATTGCCTATTTTTATAGATTATTCCAAAATCATTTAGAGGTCGCGACTTGTCACTTTAGGTCAAGAAAGTACGGTTTTGTAGATTTATCAGTTTTCGAATGACTACTTTTCATTCAATTTTAAAGATCGGACATGTTGTGAGAAGAGGATTTATTGGCCTTTAAAATGTCGTATATCAATCTCTTGTCAGACTTGGACTGTCAGGAATTTTCATCGGGTAAAATTAAAAAAAAATAACAATTTCTTAATTTTTAAGTTTTTACCATCACTTAATTCCATAATTTCAAAATTTATAGTACAATCCAATACATATCAACAAGGTGTAGTAGCATTAGAGCAAGTGTCAAAGTGGTATCGAAAGTGTCACAAACTGTTTTGATTTTTTTCTTCTAAATCAAACCGTGCCATGTGAAAAAAATAAAAACTAAAAAATTGAGATTGGAAAAAATTAAAATTGTTGCAACTTTCTTTCTTAGTAAATTTGTTTATTTCTCGAAGCATTGATCTATCCTTTGCAAGACCCAGTAATCAGCGGTTGTGCTGCTGAGATGGGCGAACATTACAATCTATTCACATTACAAGCTATTCAATCTTCAATTGTTTTGTATGGACAAAGGTTTTACATGCAAATCGATTTCAACAATTCAGAACTTTTGTGAAAATTACATTTAATATTTTCGAAGCCAAATAATTTAAGAAAATCAAATCAGCTGCTATAAATGATTTTAGAGAAATCTATAAAAATATGCAATAATATTTCTCATAAAAAGGAGAGAAATTAGAGGGCGGGGTCTTTTGAAATTTCAAAAACAAAATTTTCGATGGGCACCCTAATGTACATATGTATGTATGCACATATGTACATTTATGCTATCTGCCCTTACAACAAAAGTAATAACCAGTAAATGAGTTGGTAAATTCTTTGCTAAATGTTAAACCCTGCAATGTCCTACGAAACTGATTCATTAGAAAATCGCATACCAAAACTTAAACAAATACATACATATAAAATTGGACTACAATGCCGCAGCTGAAAATTTGTATCATCCCTTTTGTGGCTCCATTCGGCTTAACTATACTTATTTTATATACGCAGTATTTACAAGAAAAAATAATGCATATAAAATTTTTCAAGATGCCATATTTACACCTTTATTCTTAAAATTATCATACTCATTCTCGTAACAGATATCATATAACAAATTATAAGACAAAAACCTAGGCTTCAAATGGGTTGGTTTTGTCGCCGACATAACGATTGTCAAGAACAAAAACAATTATAACAATCAGAAAACAACCAAAACTAAATAATAATCAGGGCTCGGATTTTGACGACCTAAAGAGTACCAAAAAACTACCTTAAAAAATAAAAAATGAAAACTCCTAATAATCCTGGAAAATAGCCTAAAACTAAGAAATGCCCGGAAAAGGTTTGAGTTCAATGAATTTTTTGAAAAAAAATCCATTGGTTTCCATTACATATGTATGTATGTATGTATGTTCAAGATACTTCAGAACATCATCAGAGAAAGACGATATCTGTAAGAAAAACTTTAATTTAAAGATACTTCTTTAAAAAGAGCTGATCTGAAGATTTTACATACAATTCAAAATATTCCCGCTTCACCTGTATAGGCGAATTTAGTTTTCTTTAGAGAAACTTCTTTTTAGTGTCATTTCGAGAGCTGAATCTGAAAAGAAGTTAATGAAACTTTCCTAAACCACTCCTGAAGCTTTTAGCATTTTCTATATCCGGCGCTTGATTGATGTATAGCGGAAAATTTTAAACTTTATTTTGCTTATTCTGGGTTTCCAAGGGTTTCCATAAGGCTAAGTACGGACCACTTATGAAAACGGTCAAGAAAAAAATAGCTTTTTTTCGTGTGTGTGTGAATGGTAGTGTCCAAGGAATTTTGACATCTGACATTTCACAGCCTATGTCATATGAAAATTATAAATTTTGTATATTAAAAAATTTGTTTCTAGCATTTGAATACTGCACGTGCCGGCATTTGAGCCTACTACACACAGAATTTATAGCCGACATCTCTACCTACTCGGCTACGGCAGTCAAAAGCTTTTTTTCTTTTAAATGCGTATTTTTCATTTGTGACCAGTGTGCAAACTTCTACCTCATACATATATGGTAGATCTACCATATATTTTTTTTTTAAATTGGGTGTCTACCACATCTACCACACAATTCTTAAAATCTACCACATTTTAAGGCAGAACATTTGTTTACAATTTTCACATAACTCTAAAATTTTAATTCAATTCTTATGCGAAATATAAAAATTAATGAATGAATTTTTAAAAATGTACATCATACAATTGCTGTAAATATATCTGTGCCTTAACTTTTTAATACATGTCAAAAATCCGCATATTTATGTTTGCTAAAGTATTAAGCAATGGAAAAATAATATGGTAGACTTTTTGCATAAATCAATCTGTAGGATTTTTCTCAATTTAATGAAAATTTTTTTCCATCGCATCAATTGCGTTAAATTTGTACAATCCACTTGCACTTATATTTCTCGATCTAATTTTTGAGTTGTGCCTCTTTTGACGACGGTGTGCGTTATGTATACCCAATAAAAATATGAATTGGAAAATCTACCAAATTTTTTTTGCCGATTCTACCACACTAAAATAAAAAGGGGTTTGCACACTGTTTGTGACAATGAAATCAGTTCCACTCATATGGAAATCGGGAAACTGATCTTGTGGAAGTCGTAGAGCTTTTTATTTTATATGTAAATCTTGACACAGAATGCTTTTACTTGATAAAATTTCTTTACAAATAATTTATCAAGAAAACACAGAATTGGGCGGTCACGAATATTTAAAAAATATTAAATTCGGTTTTGAATAATAGTAAACAAGTGACAACTAAATCGATACATTAACACCACTGGAAATATCAAATTATGAGTTCCATCCAAATGAGAAAAAAGTCCTAATTTTAATTACGGACCATTCATATGACGACCGGCTACATCTATCGAAACTATTTGCCAGAAAAATATTTAACGAAAAAAATTTATTAAAACAAATAAAAATTGAAAAAATAGCCCAAAAAGTGCGCTTAAATCGAAAAAAATACCTTTAGGTCAAAAAACCGAAAATTACGTAAAAATTAGCTAATAACTTTTATTTTTTTCTATCTAAAGCCTACGAATAGAGTTTCTATATTACAAGGAAATGCTTCCGAAGCTTCATAAAAACGATGGAATTGCATCAAAATCCGAGCCCTGCTAATAATATTTGTTTGTATTTAAAAAACTAATTTAATTTTTCGATGTATTGCTTATTACCAACTCGCTTACTTTTTCAGTAGTATGTAAGCTTAGAAGTTAACAACTCGCACGACACGATCAGCGGAATATAAGTATGTATTACCGATTCGTATATTCACACTTCCTGAAAATAACAAGAACAAGAGTTACCCCATTTCGATAGCGAAATTTCTTGCTTCCTTGTTCCGCAACCGATTTCCAGCTCGCTGACCCTTTCCACCAGCTAATCTTTTTTTACCATATGAAGATCGCATTGGCATTCTTAGTTACAAAGTTAAATATACATACATACATATGTAAATGGCCGTTAAAACTTTGCAGCACCGCAATTATAAACAATAAACAAATAACTAAGCAAAATGTATGTATAGATATGTAATAAACTCCAGCTTCTAAGTAATTTGGCACTCAACGTTTGAACTCCAATGGATGGATAATGAGACCATGAGGCAATTTGGTCTTTTGAATGCCGTTAATGTTTGGGAAGTATGTATGTATGAGGTTGTTAAGGTTTTATCGGCCTATATAATTCGAAAACTCGTGCCATAGAATTTTCGGGTGGTATATACTTGTATTTTTTCCGACTAATTCTTAGTAAGTAATAAAAAAAAAATTATATGTATCTTTATTTGTGTTACAACCAGGGTACGAAAATAAACTGTACAAAACAATTCCCATTTGCTCATCGATCATCATATCATTTGTGGTTTTGTACAGTTTTGTACATAGTCAGAAACAAATTGTAAGATTCACTGTCATTTTCCCCAACGAGAAACGTTTGCATTTCGTTTGTGACAATTGTCCCATATGGTACGTTTTATATGTGTGCAAACGTTTCAATTACGTGAAAAATATTTTTTTCTGTAAATTTTCATATCCAATTCGATTAAAAAACATTTTTATTTTTTTATTTCATTGCAGCCATTCGTTTTGTATTTAGTTATTGCATATATGTACATACATACATATATTTTTTTCTGCACGATTCATTTCGTTTGTTGTTTCGTATGTAACTACTAACTACTGTAGTGTACTATCGCCAAAGTGCTCAGCCGTTTTGTTTTCGTATTGTACCGAACTGTTAAAGTAATAAACGAAACGAAATAGTAACGTACAGTATAGTTTATTTTCGTACACTGGTTACAACATCAAGGTGCACACGGCAAATTCGAGAAGGTGGGTCAAGCATCTAGCAAAATGTATGAAGTGCTAATTATTTTTTGTTTTTTTATTTATTGTTGGAGATTTACTTTATATACATATATATATATATACATATATATTTTAATAAATACATAAAAAATTTGACAGCCGTAACTTAAAAACTGGCTTACTAGAAACCGATATTCGTTAAGGCCTTTCTACATTACGACAATGATATTTATGTACATGTATGTATGTATGTATGAACATCTGGATATACTACCTACCATAAATTTTACCAAAGAGGTTAAGGAATCATTTAGTTTTAAGTGTGACTTAATTAATCCATTCGTCACTCTAATTA